TGTGTGTGTGTGTGTTATGTGTATGTGTATGTGTATGTGTGTGTGTGTGTGTGTGTGTGTGTGTGTGTGTGTGTGTGTGTGTGTGTGTGTGTGTGTGTGTGTGTGTGTGTGTGTTCAAGTGAACTCGGTTAAATGGAAGTACGAGGAACATAATGAATACTCGGTCCAACCATATTGTTCTCACACAAGGTTAGCTACTGTAACACTGAAACATTACCTAAGGCAGCAGACAGACGGATATGAAGATCGTCTTTTCTCCCGCTGAGCATCCTTGCTTACTTTCTATCTCCTGGACTGTATTCTTTTTCATATCTCGGCCACGGATCATTCTAAAAGGAGTCTAGAAATTCCTCTGTATTCACAAACTTTTCGCCTGACCCCGCCTCTGCAAGTTCAATATGAATCTTTTCACTTAAAGCTCTTATTCTATAATATATAATAATATTTATATTTATTTGTATCTATCCATCTATCTATCTATCTATCTATCTATCTATCTACCTACCTATCTATCTATCCATCTATCCATCTCTCTATCTATCTACCTATCTATCTATCCATCTATCTATCTATCTATCTATCCATCTATCTATCTATCTATCTATCTATCTATCTATCTATCTATCTATCTACCTATCTATCTATCTATCTACCTATCTATCCATCTATCCATCTATCTATCTATCTACCTATCTATCTATCTATCTATCTATCTATCTATCTACCTATCTATCTATCTATCTATCTATCTATCTATCTATCTATCTATCTATCTATCTATCTATCTACCTATCTATCTATCTATCTATCTATCTATCTATCTATCTATCTATCTATCTATCTATCTATCTATCTATCTATCTATCTATCTATCTATCTATCTACCTATCTATCCATCTATCCATCTACCTATCTATCTATCTATCTATCTATCTATCTATCCATCTACTCTATCTATCTATCTATCTATCTATCTATCTATCTATCCATCTATCTATCTATCTATCTATCTATCCTATCTACCTATCTATCTATCTATCTACCTATCTATCCATCTACTCTATCTATCTATCTATCTACCTATCCATCTATCTATCTATCTACCTACCTACCTATCTATCCATCCATCCATCCATCCATCCATCTATCTATCTCCCTATCTATCTACCTACGTACCTATCTATCCATCCATCCATCCATCCATCCATCTATCTATCTATATATAAGGTAACAGGTTTGACTTGCTTTCTGGTATAAAAGTTAGACAAGAAAATGTAGATTTGTTGAATCTGTATAAAAACCAGAGAGTTAAAGCAACACGTGATGTATTCACACGGGTAATGTGTTGGTCTATTTCTTTGCTGGGACAACCAGTAGAGATTCAAACACTGCTAACCATTTATCCATCATGTGTTGAAGTCACAATTCATGATGTCAGAAATCCTGAAATGTGTCTGAAAGCTCAGTGGATTTAACCACACTGTTTCTTTTCAATTTACATTTTCAGATTGCAATAATAACCGTGAAGTTATTCTGAGAAGAGTTTATGCACAGAGTAAAGCACTCACTTTATGAGATATGCTTTTGTTTTATGTCACATAACACATGCATGCTAAGAAGCACCGAACAACTCTGCTGAGCAAATGTAGAACACACCAACAAGCATAACAATGCAACAAGAAAGACAAAGGCTGCACACTATCAAAGAAGAAGTCACAAAGCCACTTTTTAAATGTAATAAAAACAAAGAATCTTAATTCAAAACTTTGTTGGTTCCAGCTTCTCAAAGGGAAGGATTATGTCTTGCCTCAACCTTTATGTAAACACAGGCCATTTGATTCGATGGGCATTTCTCACAATCATCTCACATGTAATAGGCTAAATGATTAATCACCTCATTAAAACCTTAACAGACAGATGAATACACATCATGGATGAACAAGGACGAGCCACCTGAAGAACAGCATAGGTGCTTCTGGCTCTTCAAGAGTTTTCTGTTCAGGACACGAGTTTCCTAAGAGCTGGACCCACTGGAGCTGCCATGATGTGTCCGGCCTGCACATCCAAATGCAGAAGATGCATCATGCTGACAGGAAACTACTTCATGTTTGGAGACACTGCTGAAACTCTAGTGCCCTTTCAGTTATGATCTAGTGACATACAGGACACTATATTTTGACTTCAACACTCTATTATATATTGTATTCTTGGTCATATCTAAAGGGGAGGTTTTCTTTGTGAAGAGATTTTGGAAAGTGAGGGAGACCAATCAGAAAGAGACTCATCCCTTTCATTTATTCGGTGTGTGTGTGTGTGTGTGTGTGTGTGTGTGTGTGTGTGTGTGTGTGTGTGTGTGTGTGTGTGTGTGTGTGTGTGTGTGTGTGCACAATATACATTTTTCTAAACCAGTATGATTCAGACAGAGCTCCTCTTGAGTTCATTGGAATTGCTTTCTTCTTTCTCTGGTTGACCTGGCCTAATTATCCATGTAATGATATAACCCTGGGGGGAAAGGGGATCTCCCTCTGTCTGTCACACACGCACGCACACACACACACACACACACACACACACACACACACACACACACACACACGGCCTCCTCGTTCCCATAGAAAACCAAAAAGCCCCTTGCTGAAAGAAGCGAAGACAGGGAATGAATTTCACTCGCTAATTAGACCGGACCCTGCCTCTTATTCACAACCTGGCCATGAGAACAGAATATTATAGAAAAGAAAAAGGTACAGTGTGTCCAAAAATCCTGACAAAATGACAACGGGCACTTTAGGAAGTAAGATCACAACAAGTGCTTTCTCTTTAGTCTCTGCAGCTCTCTTGTCAAATATTTTTTTAAATGCTGTTTTACATTTAGAAAAACCACCAGGGAAAGCATTTCACACAAACTGAATGATGTTTTTCTCTGTCTGCAGTTTGTGTGAAATTGAGGAAAAGACACTGTGACAGGAGAAGCATTCTGGCTCATTGTCAAATGGTGAAACATCTGAACACATTTAAATGACAGTGAAGCGGAAACCCAGCAACACAAATGGCCTTAACTGGGTTTTCTAGAGATATGCAGAGCTTCAGGTGAAATTCAACAACTGGATTTAATTGGTGAATTAAAATATTATCCAAGCATATGGA